GCGCCGCAAGTCGGGATAGAAGCCAGTCTTAAGGAATTATTTTGGGAGGATCTGGAGGGGTTGATTCGACACATACCACAGAGTGAAAAGATTTTTATTGGAGGAGACTTTAATGGGCATGTCGGGAGGGAAGCTGGTCAGTATGCGAGGGTGCATGGTGGTTTTGGTTTTGGAGAGCTAAACAATGAAGGGCAAACTCTTCTTGATTTCTCATTGGCGTATGATTTTAAGATTGCCAACACTTGTTTCAAGAAGAGAGATGAGCATCTCATCACCTACAAAAGTGGAGCCTCAAGGTCGCAGATTGATTTTCTTTTGGTTAGGAACACAGATAGAAAACTTTGTAAAAATTGTAAGGTGATCCCTGGAGATGCTGTAACGACACAACATAGGGTCCTAGTCCTTGATGTGTGTATTATGAGTAAAATCCAAAAACGTCGACAAGTAGTAACACCAAGGATTAGGTGGTGGCAATTAAAAGGTGAGAAGCAAGATATTTTCAAGCGAAATCTTTTGGATAAAGGAATTTGGGATTCTCAGGGAAGTGCTAACATCATATGGGAGGATATGGCTAAAAAGATACGGGAGGTTGCAAAAGTAGTTTTGGGAGAATCGAAAGGTCCTGGTCCGAGAGATAAGGAGTCTTGGTGGTGGAATAATAGTGTACAGGACAAAATCAAGTATAAGAAGAACTGTTTTAAAGCCATACATTTGTGTAACAATGAGGAAAATTGGGAGAGGTACCGTATGGCTAAGAAGGAAACTAAGAGAGCTGTGGGTGAAGCTCGTTCTAAAGCTTTTGAAGAATTTTATAAGAACCTTGAGACGAAGGAAGGAGAGCAAAATATTTATAAGATTGCCAAGAGTAGGGAAAGAAAATCAAGAGATCTAGAACAGGTAAGGTGTATTAAGGATGAAGAGGGAAGAATTTTAGTTACAGATGATGAAATTAAAAATAGATGGGAGACTTATTTTTCTAAACTTTTCAATGATGGAGAGGATTCATCTAGTAACTTGGAGGATTTAGTAACTGGTGAAGGAGAACAAAATTTGTCATTCTATCGAAAAATACGTGATAAGGAGGTAAAGGAAGCTCTTAAGAAAATGGCAAATGGTAGAGCTAACGGACCTGATTGTATATCTATCGAAGCGTGGAAATGTTTAGGTGAAGAAGGGGTGAGATGGTTAACTAAGTTATTTAATGTGATTTTACGGTCCAAGAAAATGCCTGATGAGTGGAGGAGAAGTACATTAATTCCTATTTATAAAAATAAAGGAGATATTCAGAATTGTACTAACTATAGAGGGATTAAACTCATGAGCCACACAATGAAATTGTGGGAGAAAGTAATTGAGCACAGGTTGAGATTGGAGACAAGTATTTCTGAGAATCAATTTGGTTTTATGCCAGGTAGATCAACTACAGAGGCGATTTATCTACTAAGGGGATTAATGGAAAAGTATCGTTGTAAAAATAAAGATCTACACATGATTTTTATTGATTTGGAAAAAGCTTATGACCGTATACCAAGAGAAGTGCTTTGGAAAGCGTTGGAAAAAAAGGGAGTACGGATTGCTTATATTAAAGCCATACAAGATATGTATGAGGGGGTAAAAACTAGTATAAGAACGCCTAGTGGTCAAACAAAGGATTTTCCTATAAAGATTGGGCTACATCAGGGATCATCTCTGAGTCCTTATTTGTTCAACTTGATTTTAAATGTTTTGACGGAACATATTCAAGAGGAAATCCCGAAATGTATGCTCTTCGCGGATGATATAGTTCTTATAGCAGAGACAAGAGAAGAGGTTAATTGCAAACTTGAGTTATGGAGGAGGACATTGGAGTCGAAAGGTTTTCGTCTGAGTAGAAGTAAGACGGAATATTTATATTGTAAATTTGATAAAGGACTATTCGAAAATAATTTGGAAGTGAAATTGGGAGATCAAATTATACCTCAAGTGGAAAAGTTTAGATATTTGGGAGCCATTATCCAAAATGATGGCGAAATCAGTGGAGATATTTCACATAGAATTCAAGCTGGGTGGTTTAATTGGAGAAAAGCTAAAGGAGTTATTTGTGACCGTAAGGTGCCTAATAAACTTAAAGGAAAGTTTTATCGTACTGCTATCAGACCGGCAATGTTATATAGTAGTGAATGTTGGGCTCTAACGGGACAGCAAGAGCATAAAGTTGGAGTAGCAGAGATGAGAATGTTACGATGGATGTGCGGACATACACGTAAAGATAAAATTCGAAATGAGCACATACGTGAAAAAGTGAGGGTGGCACCTATTGAGGAAAAAATGGTAGAAAATCGGTTGAGATGGTTTGGGCATGTACAAAGAAGACCAAGGGAGGCACCAGTGAGAAGAGTGGAACATATAACTTTGAGTCCGATTAAGAGAGGTAGAGGAAGGCCTAAGAGAACACTCTTGGAAGTTGTTGAACGTGATCTCTTAATTAATAATATTTCTAAAAGCTTAATAAATGATAGAGCACAATGGCGTCTTGCAATCCATGTAGCCGACCTCATCTAGTGGGATAAAGGCTTGTTGTTGTTGTAAGGAAATAATTCTATCTCCAATTCTGCTAACTTCTACAACGTTCTTCTTCCACTCCTTATCCATAATGATGCCTACTCCATTGTGTGCGCTTACTTTTCCTGTATACAAAAGTTTGAAACCTTGAATATCCTTAGCTTCTTCTCCACACCATTTTGTTTCTTGCAGTCAAAGGATATTGATTTTCCTTTGAATCATAACCCCTATAACCTCTACAGATTTACAATTCAATGTTCCAACATTTCAAGTACCAAATCTAATTTTGCTCTCATGGACTAACCTCTTTAGCCGCACGCATCTAGAATGACGTGGTAGCCCTTGCTCATTTAACACTACATCCGGGCCCCGATGCAGTGGCTCTATCTCACTTATCACTGTACTCGAACCATGCAGTGCGTTACTTACGGGCAACGACCTAGCATTAACATTATAACGTCTATTGTCCATGTCATGAGGTGTACTGAAAAAGCTCAAAAATAAATTTCAAATACTCTTCAATATAGGCATATAGCATATGAAAATGAAAACCTCAAATTTAGGAATTTTTTAAGAAAATCACAATCAAAGGCCTCTTGCACCTTGAGGAGCACACTGGATAAGAAAATTTTGAAAAATTGAATAATATAGAGAACCCTCACTCTTGGAGGTGGCAAGTGCACACCATGCCATCTTCCCGTGCTCCAATTACGACACACGCCAATCCCTTATGCTCCACGTGCTGTTAGCTTTCGAGTGGGATTCTTCACGTGTTATTTGGTCCATCCAGTGGGCCCTATGTGGCATGTGCCTTTTAAATAATATAATTTTTTTAAAATAAATTCATTTTTTTAAATTTTTTTATAGCTTGGGTCAAACCAAACCTGAGGATCCATTGGATCGAGTCCGTTGATCTAGTCAAAACACCCTTAAAAAAAAAAAATTTTGGCCTTTAGCCCAAAATGTGTTATATATATATATATATGGATTTGGGCTCACAAGCTGAAAACCAATTTTTTATTTTTTTTTTATAGAGGCTTTTGGGTTTGCCAGGTCAAAAGCATATAATTTTTTTTTATATGACTCAAAACGGTACCACACTATTTTGGGTCATCCCTGACCTCCAATTTGGGTGGAGTGACAGGTCGGGTCCTTCAAACTGGAAACTTCTGGGAGTCATTTCTCCTCCGTTCGACTTCCATTTCGCGCTTTTTTTTTTTTTTGAACTCTACAATTTTATTCGTTTACCCAAAAAAATTGCGTTTTCAAACACCCATTTTTCTGTTTGTTTACAGTTGGAAGTTTTGGCAATGTCTATTGCATACAAAACTCATTTATATCAACCAAGAAGCATCTTAACATGTTCACTTGACAAAAACATGCATGAAAAAGGGACAGAGGCAGTAACTTGATATTCAACGTGAAAAAATGAGCAGTAGATTTGCATGTACATATGTTAAGCAAATCAGAGTCTCAATATTCAAACACAAAAACACAGCCCAGGATACAGCATTGATCTGATACCAATTTGAGTTTTTGGAGGAGGATAGCATACTTAAATGAGATGGGTTGCACTAGATAGGATGTATGTGGGAACGGAGTCATGGTACAGACTTGGTTCAGGAGTACACAACAAATGAACTAAGAGAAGAGAGCAAAAAGAGAAGGAAAGAACCAGAGAGCTTTTTTGGAGAATGAGATTCACTTCAGTATCACACATTGCACTCCCCATGTATCTCTCTCGGATGTGTGTGGGGAGGCTATCAAACCGTTCCCACCATAGTTCAATTTTGAACAATGGGAATATTGCATAATGAAATGCTTTGTTACTCTCATTGACCTAGAGTTCTCCTTATTATAATGAACCCCTATGGGCTCATTTATTTGGGCTCAATCTATCAAGGGTGGATAACCCAACACATAAACCAAATGCTGAAATGCTTACCCATAATACCTTTGGTTGTAGCTTCCTTAATGATAAAAGTAACAAACAAAAGCTAAAAAACTTATCCATAATACCAAATTATGGAAATGCCAACACCAACGACTCCATAACCAAAAGGTACCTTCACAAATTTAAATTTCATACAAGAATGATAAAAACCTCATGAAATATATCATCAAACAAAAGGCATAACTGAAGTTGGTACCTTTTCAAATTAAATTTCAGAAAATCTTTATGCCTCTTGGCAGGCTAAATATTTTGTTCATTAGATAAATAGTCAAACAGTTCGTTGAACCAACTGAATATACTAAGAAATATGATCTTGGATGTTTCTCCAAGATTCCACTTCTAAATTTTTCTGTAATATATATTTAGAGGATGGCTTTTCAAGCGCCCTATTTATCAAAACCTCAGGATTTTCCCCTCTTATTTAACCCTGCGGCTGAATTTCTGCATTTAATATCGTATTTCTCTGGTTGGGTCTCATTATCTTTCCTTCTGTTTTCTTTGACAGCTGAGGGATGACTTAATGACTATGCTTATTGCTGGTCATGAGACCACAGCTGCAGTTCTGACATGGGCATGTTTCCTGCTAGCTCAAGTATGTTTACCTTGGCAGATGTTGGACATTGCATCTTGTTTAAGATGGACAAATTTAGTTGTTTCATGACTTCTTTTCATCAGAACATATTCTCTCAGGTAGCCATCCTGATCCATATTAACTTTCTGATTGCAGAATACGACTAAAATGAAGAAGGCTCAAGCAGAGGTGGATTTGGTACTGGGCGAGGGGAGACCTACTCTTGAGTCTCTTAAAAACCTGCCGTAGGTTCCAAAGTCCAATAACCTTTTTTTAGTAACAGTTAAAGGTTTGATATCCATTATTTTTATTCAACAATAAATTCAAAAATTATTAACAATTATATCTCGTAGGAAAAAGGGAAAAAAAAAAGCACATCCATGTGTTAGATAAAGAATAATAGTGCTTAATGCAGCTCTTCATTCATGATGTGGATTTACTATTTATTAATATAGGGGATTTCAATAATGGTTTCGAGTGTTGGAAGAATTGTTAATAATACTAACCTGTAGGATGGGATATCGTAGGTTCTGGCTTCCAATCATAATTAACATTCTCTTTCTATGTCTTAAAAAAATTTGGTTTGATTGGATTGTAATTTGCGTTTTCTCATCGTTTAGGGGTTTGTTTTTGTTATAATTTCTATATATGGCTATGTTCCTCCACCGAGAATTCTTTCCTTTTTTTTTTTTTTTGGTGGGGGGAGGGGGTTTGTGATACCATTCCAATGGTGACCTTTTGGGTATGGCTGAAAAGCAGGGCAAGTTAGATGCTAGCCCGCCAATCTTGCCAATTTTGTGATGCCTAAACTTGGAAGCATCAATTTTGAGCAACTCCAGCTTTTCTGCTCCTAGGACAGTTTTCTTGACATATATATCTTGCTTTCAGGTACATAAGACTTATTGTCATAGAGGCTCTTCGTTTGTATCCCCAACCTCCTTTGCTGATTAGACGTTCACTAAAGTCAGATGTGTTACCAGGTATTGCTCTTCGTTGAATCCCCCCATGAAAATAGGACATGACTTTTGTGGAGCAAAAACGAATTTAAAACGGAAATAACCAAACTTTCGAAGTCAAAATTTAATATCAATTAATTCTAATAATGATCATCAAGATAACTACAATAACTTACTGATCCCAAGCTATGGAGACAACACCAATGAAATACCATTGATCCAAAGCTCATATTGGGATTGTAAGATTAGGAGTAATACCTGATATGTTGCATGGGTCTCTATACAGATGACGGGGTCACTATGAACCTGGTCTGTACTCACAACAATTAAACAGATAGAAAGAGGAGAGAAAAGTGAGTGTTTTTTGATTGTGCATAGAGAGTTACTTCTTCAATTCTTGCAACCCCTACACATGGCACACTCACTCTAAACATGTTATACCATAAAAGGTAGAATTGTTCAAAATGTTTGCAGCCTTATCATGAAAATTAACATAAAACTCATAATTTAAAAGGCAAGAAATAGAAACCAAGTTCCGTCAGATATTCAGTGCATGTAAAACATTATGGAGAATTAAAGGCTTTGCCACAACTTAAAAGCTAATTTGCAGGTTCCCACGCCCTTCGCTTCAATCTTTGTGTTGTTGCTAGCTGTCAATGGTACTCAATAAAGGATCCTTGATCCCTCCTAATGTGGTTTATGGATTCTGAGTTTACAATCCGAAGAAGAGACAGTTTCCGTTAGAAAAACATTACTAGAAACATATGAAATATGTGAATTCGCATAATTCACATGTACCTAATTGTGTTCATTTTGTTCAAGGTAGTCCTTTACAAGATGACCCATCTTTTCTCAAGAAAAGCATTTGACCTTCCTCAGGTCGACTCTTTTTTTACTGCCCTTCTTCCCCTTCTTTTTAGAGCACATGAAGATTAACTTGGTCTGTAACCGGAAAAAAAATAGTTACTTTTAACAATGTAACAAAACACTAGAAACAACTAAACCTCATGAGCAGGGATCAAGGATCCTTTATTGAGTATTGTCATCTGCCGAACCTAAGCAAATGGCTTTATGTGGGCCACAACGCGAGGATTGATGTAAATGGCATGGTGACCTGCAAATTAACTTTGCATTATGTCAAAGTTTTGATTCTCCATGATGTTCTACTTGAATCAAACATCCAACAAAATTTGATTTCTATTTCCTGGTTTTTAAATTATGGGTTTTATGTTAATTTTCAAAAAGTTCTTTGTAATGGATATTGTTGGTGATGTATATTCACATAATTGCTTTACTTCTTTGTAATTGATATTGTTGTTATGAATATTTGGCACTCTAAACTAGGACATATTAATCAAAATAGAATTATTAAATTAGCTAAAGAATGAATGTTAGGTCTAGTTACAAATATGGAAATGTCCTTATGTGAAAATTGTCTAGCCAGTAAAACAACTAGAAAATCTTTTGGTAAAGGTACCAAGGAAAATCCATTGCAATTAATCTATTATGATATATGTAGTCCTATGAGTGTGAGGGTCACTTTTCATAATTTGGTCATATCTATTTGATATCTCAAAGATCTAAAGTTTTTCAGTACTTTAAACGATACATTAATGAGATTGAATCAAATGAACGATAAAATTAAAACATTATGAACTAATTGAGGTTGTGAATATTTACCCAATCAATAATCAATTTAAAGGGCTCTATGTTGAAAGAAGGTCAATTCTACAACAATATACAGCTATTGAAAGAAGAAATAGAACTCTTCAAATTTAAGGGGAAATTGCACTTAAGGACTCAAGCATATTACACATAAAGACCGTGTGACTAATATTCATATAAGCCCCATAGGCTTGAATTTTGGGTCTGATCCACCAAGGGTGAATAACCCAACAGGGATAGTTCTTATTACATGCTTTCGCCGACTTGATATCCGCAACCTTAATTGAATGTCTAAAAGAGAACATGATACAAATTGCTACCCTAAGATATTGATGGCTAAGAATTATTTATCATCAAGGCAAGAATAAATAACTGTTGGGTTTCATGCTTAGTCCACCCTTGGTGGAATTTAAGTTTTTGGCCCAAGCCCACATTGAAAATTGGGGGCTTATTTGAAAATTGTTAAGATTAGGGTCCTTAATCATGATATACTCCTTTAATTTGAAAAGAAGGAGGGAGCAGTTAATTTTTAGAACCATGCATGGTTTGGTTAATGGAAGTGGATGCATGAGTTATTTTATGCGTGTGGAGAACACAAGACTCCAACCTTCTCTCAGGACCTTAAAAGTTTTCTTTCTTCTCAGTTGGTGGTTTTTGTTGTGTAATACAAGCAATGTCCTCTAAGCGACTCTGCTTAGGGTGGTTTATATTTTATGTCATGGAATCCGGTACGTATTCTAAGTTTCTGCAGTAACACATTACTATTTCGTTCCCAAAGAAGAAAGGGAGTGTAGAGCATATACTGTAGAAAGATCAGAAATGCTTCTAACATGAGTAATCAAGGCAGATGCACAGCATCAGCTCGAAACAACAAAGTAGTCTCTGCCAATTGACTAGGGGACACAGTAACTGATCAATTGTGGTCAACTGAATTTCACTAAAAGGTTTTGGAACCGGGCCTATCCCTGGATGGTACACCGTCAAATGCACTGCACTCATCCCTTTTGATACAGCTACCAAGCACCTTCTTCATTCTGCTTCTAAAGTCTCTGGATCTATATCACTGCACTCATCCATTAGACGGGGCCGGCTATATAATTTGAACAATTCCATTGTGCTCTATCCTCAACCATATCTTTGGGAGTATTGTTAATCAAGAGGTTTCGTTCAAGCATTTCCATTGTGCTTTTTGTTCTAATCTAGGGAGACAGAGCCAATGTCATGTAAACAGTTTGCTTCACAGCTGCCTTAAGAGTTTAAGACCAATATCAATTTCTACATTCATCTTACACCTGCTATCCTTTTCCTTTCTTTTTGTTTAATCATTTCTCAATTTGTTTCCTTCATTTGGGATAGTATTAGCGCCTGAGGATTTTATGTCACTTTACAGGAGGATACAAAGGAGATAAAGATGGTTATGCAATTCCTGCTGGGACCGATCTCTTCATATCTGTGAGCACATTTTTTTTTTTTATGTCTGAAATGCTTGGTTTTTTTTTTTTTTTTTGGTCCTCTCATGTTTTACAGGAACATACATTATTCTGTTCTGCATGTAAGAGTCACATTTACTTTAGTTTATTGGTTTATCAACACCATGAAAGCCCAAATTGTAATTATTAATTCGGGTGTTGAGTATTTCTTTTTGTGTTTGAGATTAACAACTTTTTAAATTTACCTTACCTTTTGATTCCGTTGGTTGTTTCAGTCATGTACATAAACATATATGTCACAGACAAACACATGTTTATCTGACTTGGTTTTTTTTTTTTTTTTTTGTTTCTTTTCTTTTCAAACTTGTGTGTTTGTTCAAACCCACCTGCCCATGTGAATGCAAAAGGTAGAATAGGAGGGAGGCATCAGGAGGGAAACACAAACCATTTATATATGTGTGTGCGGAGACGCCCATATACCTTAGTTCTTGTTTTTTTTTTCCCACCTGCATATACCTTGGTTTTGAAATATGTTCATTTCACATGTTGATGGTAGTGTAGTTGCTAAAATATTCCCTAATGCAGGTATATAACCTCCATAGATCTCCATACTTCTGGGACTCTCCTCATGAATTCGAGCCAGAGAGATTTCTGGTGCAAAAAAAGAGTGAAGAAATTGAAGGATGGGCTGGCTTTGATCCATCTCGAAGTCCTGGAGCCTTGTATCCAAACGAGGTTGCTTCTTAATCCTACCTTTAATGAAGGCTTAAATTCACATATTTAGTGTGGTGGAATTTTCAATTTTATCCCTTCACTTTTAATTGAGTGAATGCTGTTCTTTAGGGTTAAAAAATATCTGGTGAGTGATTTAAATCCACTCACTCAGAGAGTGTCAACAATTAAATTTCATTAACACTTGAAAATTATTGAGTTACATTTCCCTCTAAAAATTCAAAACCACCCTCATGATTAAAATACTTTTCACATTATCCCTTTCAGAAATTTGAGATTTGGTACTTTCTAAATATTATATGACAAAATCTTTAATAACCATTCGATTAAATCAAATGTTTCTAATCATGTCATATGAAACACTTATTGAGTGAGTAAATTTGTATCACTCACTAGATCCAAATCCAAAAATACATAATTGAGTCTCTCTCTCTCTCTCTCTCTCTCTGGTTTTTTTTTTTTTTTTTGTGATGATGAAAAATGATACTGTTTTGATTTTGGCCATTTGAATAGCCAAGTTAAATGTGGGTTAAGTCATGCGATCTCCCTTATCCCAATTCATGGTGATGTTACTTGATTACTTATCATTTGCAAGTGCATTTGGCCTAAATCAAATTTATGAGTTAACATCGACATCAATTCTTGACATCACCGGAACAAAACTAACATGATAAGACCCTTTTAGTGTTGGAAAATGTTAAATGCGATCTCATTATGATTGATTTATGAATTGTGACGTTTATTCATTCACCACATGAGAGTTTATATAGAACAAAATAAGAGCATCCCGATAAAAACCAAATCAATATACAATAATTACAATAAAAGTGACCTGTCAACCTAACCATAATAGGAAATTACAATCAACCGAAAATCACAACACTGATGGAAAATATATATACACACTCTCATGTGGTGAATGATAACACTGATTTAAACTATAAATCATAAATCAATCATAACCAGACTCAACTTAAAGAGGCAAAATTAGAGAAACTATAAACTAAAAGTGTATTTAAACACCTTATTGAAGCATGATTTATTCTGCAATATAATTGGCAATATGTATGTGGACTTGATCAGATTGTATCAGATTTCGCTTTCTTGCCTTTTGGTGGTGGACCTAGAAAATGTGTTGGGGACCAATTTGCTCTCATGGAGTCTATTGTAGCTCTGGCTTTGTTGCTGCAAAATTTTGATGTGGAATTGAGGGGAACTCCTGAATCAGTGGAACTGGTTACTGGGGCAACCATCCATACAAAAAATGGAATGTGGTGCAAACTCAGGAAGAGATCTAGCTCGCATCATTGACATACTTTATAGTGAACATCATTAAGCATGTTGTATATCATTTTGCTTTCTTGTATCCAAAAAAAAAAACAAAAGAAAAGAAAAAGAAAAAGAAAAAGAAAACATATACAGCTAAAGGATGCTCAATTAATTAGATTATTTTTAGAAAATAATTAAGGTTTTGTATGTTTAAGATTAAAAAATAAGTTATTTTTAGATAGTTTAAAGATATTATAAAAAGAGATTTTTTTATAAAGATTTTATAAAAACAAAACATTATTTTATGTTTAGTTACAATGATAAAAAAGTGATTATTAGGTAGGTATTTTTAAATTTTATGATATATGCATTGATTTCTGTTTCATAAAAATAATTTATTATATTATTTTAAATTTTTGTGATATTTTCACATATTCCGTCTCTTTATGATACTCTCTTTTATTCGTGGCATTAAATTATTTTGATAAGCTACTTTAAATAGCCCTTGAAAACAATTAGACATTTACTTTTTTTTTCAAATTCTAATTATTTTTAAAATTTTAAACAAATATTATAAAAACTCACAAAAAGAGATTTAAAAAAATTGATTTTTTTGTAAAATAAGTTGAAATAAATAATCGCTAAATTAGCTTCTTAAAATAATGAAAAATATATTTTTTATTTTTTGATTATTTTTAAGAGTTTAAACATACAATACAATAGATTTTAAAAAAGTAATAAGTGATTTTTTTATGAAAAATATTAAACAAGTGGGATCTAATGTGTGGACTAAAATTTAAAATATTAAAAGCTCATAATCATTATTGATAAAGAACCAGCTCTTGCTTCCAAAGGATTTTTAGTGGCATTGCATGTTTCATATGTTAACACTAGGAGTGTTCATGGGACGGGATTGGGACATTCCTGTCCCGTGTCCCGTCTCGAAAAAAGATCAGGATTAAATTTTGATCCTGTGTCCCGTCCCGTTAAGAGTCGGGACAGGACCGGGACAAGATCAGGACGTCCCGCCGTCCTGATAAATGAAATAATGTGGAAAAAAAATTTGGATAATAACGTTTATTAAAATTTTAAATTATATAATTTATTAAGTTTAAAATCAAAATAACACAAGTACATAAATAACAATAATTTAAAATTAATTATTGAATTATATTAATCACAACTATATATTATAATAAAAAATACAATTGATCGTTATGCTATAAGATTAGCAACAACAGGCAAGTCAAACACAATATTAAATAATTGTTCTTCTACTTTAGTGAAGATGTACTAAGCTAATTATTTTTTAAAAAATAAACAAGAAATATGTTATAAATAAAAGTTATTAAATAGATAGATATAAGAATAAATTATATTAATATAATTAATATCTTATAAAGAAAGATATCGCCATGTTTACTCCATGCTATTAAAATTATCAATATAAAAAAATTTTAGTTTTAAATAAGAATTGCAAGTATTAAAATTATAATTGATATAATTAATATAAGTATAAATTATGTTAATATAATTAATATATTTAAATTAAAAAATAATATATATAATATTCGGGACGGGACGGGACGGGACGTCCCGATGGTAATCCCATGTCCCGTCCCATCCCGCACCCCTTTCCTGTCCCGTCCGGTAAAGTCCCGTCTCGATTATTTTTGGGCCGGGACAAGACCCGTCCCGATATGATCGAGACGATATCGGGCCAATCGGGACGGGTCTAGAATGAACACCCCTAGTTAACACTAATCCTTTTATTTTATTTTTTTCAGTGTGCTGAATTTTTTTGTATATCAGTGTTATGAGATTTTTTTTTTTTTTTAAGTTAAGGGTCAAAAATGTTTTTAAAGTGTATATGAAAATTTATGAATAATTCTAAATTTAATAATGGATCATTTTTATCCCCCAATCTTAAAGATCTTTTGTTATATCACCGCATCATTTCTTCCGTCAGCTCATAATCATTATTGATAAAGAACAGCTCTAGCTTCCAAAAGAATTTTAGTGGCATTGCATGTTTCGCTTGTTAGCACTGTTCCTTTTTGTTTTTGTTTTTGTTTTTGCTCTGTGTTATGAGATTATCAGCGATTATGAGATCTTTGTTGCTCAAGTAAATGGTCATGTTACACTCTATGCATCGTGGACCATTGTACTTGCTTGATTTTGTGATGGTAAAAAAATTTTATTGAGAGAATGATAGCTAAATTTCAGAAAAAAAATTAATGACAATTAAATTTTTAATTTTTTTTTTAAAAATAAGTTATAAATATCAATTCAAACTTTTACAAATTCAAGAGATTTAATAATAAATAAAACACTTATATCTTAAGTTTGCGTTTGAATGGGTGGATTTGAATTGATAATTTTAATTTAAAAACTCACATTTAAAATTTATATATTCTAAATTCTTTATTTGGATGATATAAAAAATTTTAAATTATAATATTAAATTTTTTTTTTGGATCTCAAATAAAATTTTAAATTTCAAATTTCTTATTTAAATTTAAAGGCAAATCGGATGATGTTGGTGATCTAATCAAAATGAAGGGTGGCATCTCGATCTTGATTGACTTTAACTATTTGAACTTAGACCACGTCAATGGTCTAATCTCGATCGATAATGGCAACTCAATCCTAGTTGACATCAATGGCCTAATCCCCAAACAATGCTTACGAATTAGCATGGAATGATTATAGCAATCTGAGGGCTGTGGATTAGACTTAGATGGCAACATCAAACCATTGCCTATAAACAAGGGTGTTTAGCGTTAGACGACAAAGGTGAACAGATCAAAGATGATGATCATAGATCTATCCTAGACTACGATGGTAGTCAAGTTCGATAGATGTCAACAGTTCAGTCCTATTCACCATTAGGTGTCGATGGTATAGTCCTTGTCACAACTAGCTGTCCGATCCCTGTTTGCTCTGGGCCTTCAGTCCTTATTACAGCTAACGATCTAGTTCCAATTAGCATCGACTGTTTGATCCCAATTGGTGTTGTTCGTACCATCCTAGTTAAAGTTGACCATCCAATCCTGGTCGATGCTAATCGTCAGATCCCAATCAGCACTGGTAGTTTGATCCTAGTTGGTGCCGGCATTTCAGTCTAAGTCGACATTGGTAGTTTAGTCTCGATGGATGTCAGCCAAAGGCAGTAATGTAGAAGTCAAGAAAGTAGTGAAGTCAACGATCGAATACAAAGGAAGAGAGAAGCTTTCATTGAAATTTAAAATAATAAGGACTTAGAAAGAATTTGAAATTACAAAAGAATTGAGGTAGGATTTGAATTTGGGTCAAATCTAAATCCACGTATTTTTAATCACAAATTTAAATTCATACATTTTTAATTATCCAAGCATTGAATTTGGTTCAAATTCAAGTCCATATACATTCAAACATAGCATGAATGTATTTGTCATTTTGTAATTGGAATTTCTATCTATAATTGTTTGAATAAATATTTATAATTTACTTTTAGAAAATTTTATCAATAATCTAATTATCATTAATTAAAATTCAACATCTTTTAAGACTTTAAGGTCATCTCTTATATTTGAAAGAAGACATGGCAGAGGAAAGATGCTTATATACGGATTGAGGAGCTGAATGATGCTTTCCTTTGGAGCAGAGAAGCGTTAATTACCCAACACATTTTGATTATATCAATTATGTCATAAATCATGCTTACAAATTAATTTTATTCAAATTATATTTTACCCAACGCTAATTCAAATGCACTTTATTATGAGACAATTTTGAAATTTGAAGGATATAATGTTTATATATATATATATATATAATAAAACAATTCACAGATTTTTAGTAGTAATCATTTTTCTCTAAGATACCTCTAATCCCTGTATAAAATAAAAATTGAACCACCTTAAAATAAATTTATCTTGGAAAAAAAAATGAATGGAGTTAGTGGAGTTTGAAGCTGTCAATATAACAAGGTCATTTTTTTCGTTCGCAAAAATCCTAATTTAAATCTAACATTAATACGTTTGTGTGTGCGCGCACCTGTGTCTCTCTTTTATGAGAAGAAATATGTTAGGGGTATGGTTTTCTTAAAAAATGGAACTTGAGGGTATGCAACATATTCAACCTCCAATTCTCTCTATTATTTATTCTCCTACTAGATGGAACCCAGTCTCACTTAGAAATGCCAACACAGCCAGTCAACCACATATTGTGGGGCCCACCTAGCCCCACTTATCCACACAATATATATATATATATATATATATATTTGAGTTTTACATATGAGACTTGGAAGCCCTCACAAATAAGAGTAAAGGTGTTCATGGGAGTGTCCTGTTCCCATTCCAAAAAATTGATTGAAACTGTTTGTCTTGTATTTTGTTCCGTCTCGAAATTAATACCATCTTGTTTAGAATAATCAAGACGACATCAGAGCTAGATTGAGATATTCAGCCGTCCTCATGAAACAAACAATACGAGAAAGAGATTTGGATAACAATATTTATTAAAATTTTAAATTATATAATTTATTAAGTTTAAAATTAAAATAATATGAGTACATAAATCACAACAAGTAAAATTAATTAATGAACTATATCAATCACAACTTAAAGTCAAGTATTCATGAGTTATAACATATTATTATAACAATTACAAGCAATCTATAAGCTATAAAAAGAACAATAATAGACAAGTCAAGTATAATATTAAGTTATTATTCTTCTTTTTTAGTTGAAATATGATAAATTAGTGACTCTTTCGAAAACAAAGTAAGAAATATGATATAAAAAATTATTAAATTGATAGATATAAGAATAAATTATATTAATATAATTAATATATTATAAAGAAAGAGGTTACATTGCATTGCTTACTCTGTGTTATTAAAATTATCAATATAAAAAAATTTAGTTTTAAATAAAAATTACACATATTGAAATTATAATTAATATAAGTATAAATTATATTAATATATTTAATACATATATTTTGAAAATAAAAAATAATGTGTGTGTGTGATGTTCGAGGCCAGACATGATGCTCTGAAGGCAATCCCATATTCCTACTCATCTCACAAAATTTTGTCCCTTTTTTTAAAAAAAAGTTAGGAAAGACTTGTTTTGATATGATCGAGATAGAATTGGGCTGACTAAAATGGATATAAAGTTAAACACTCCTAAATAAGAGTTAAAAAAAAAAAGCTACTC